TTTTTTTTTTTTTTAATCCATATTATTCAAAGAGAAAATGAGAGAGATGATGATTCTGAAGCCACCCTATCCCAACCATATTATTCACATATCAAGTCCCAACAGCAACAGTGTAAGGATGAGCACGACAGTGCAGGTGAGCATGAAAGATGGACAATCTTCGGAGATTTTAGATTGAGAACACAACAAAACACTAACACTCAGGGATTTAAAAATAGTCAGACGTCTGCTAATATCGATGATTTGTTTTTAGATCGAATCAATGAATTGTTAAATGAATTCAATCAATGGCACCAGCGTGACCAAGAAGAACAATAACGTCGTCTAACATTTTATTTTTAGATTATATGTTACTAATTTTATGCTTTATTGTAGTCCATGTATGTTGATATACTTATTCCATGATAATTCTATGTTTATCCTTTTACGTGATGTAAATTAAATGCTGAATGACGGTTCATGCAGGAAAAGAGCATATCAATATTCACATATTCATTCAAAAACATGAAATTCTTAATGAAATACCTTCATTTCTTATTGAATTCCTAAAAAATAATATTAATAATGAATTTTAATAATTTTTTTGAATTTTTTTTAAATTTTATTTTGATCGATTCACCCGATTCCCGATCCGGATCGACGATCCGGATCGATTTTTGAAAGCCCGATCCTGGTCACCGATCCGTTTTTTAAACCATTGCTTTGAACCATTCATAATCTTGCTCCGACATTTCATGCCCATCTGTTCTTTTCTTTTTTCTTTTTCTCAATTTCCATCCATGGCATGTGCCCCGTTGGTAATCATTCAGCAAGTGTTGTTAAGTGACTTCCAAGATGGCAACTTTTTCATCATTTTATAAAAAGGAAAATCCCAGGAGTAACGCATAGCAATTGCAAAGACATTAAATTAAAAAAAAAAAGGGAAAAAGAAAAGAAAAATCACATTGCATCCTCGGAAACATACATGTACAAAGACCCAAAAACCATGTGCCATCTCCTTCTATAACAAAATTTTTGCTCAATCCCCTTCCGTTGAAGTTGGAATCTTCGAATAATGTGCTGACAGGGTGAGTGCGGCCCATAAGTGGGCATCAAAGTAAGTTAGAGCTGCCTATAAAAGAGCATATAGGCCTGGTCATGCAATACCTTGTTGACGGGCACAAAGGTGACAGACGCATCGTCATAGCGAAGCCACTGGCCGGTGTGATGCCTGGCATTCGCTGTGTAGTGGCCCTTGGACGGTTCCCTCCCTTGATGAGTGATTGTCGCGACCAGCTCATATCTTCGACCCTGTAAAGTGGAAGAATTTATCTTCAAACCCATCGTTTTTATTAGAAGAGAGCAATCAAATGCCCCCAATACTTACTCCTTTTCCTTTTCTTTTTCTTTTTCTTTTAGAAAATTATACCCCCAAATACTAAATAAACCTTTTACAATAAGTTAGTCAACATCTTGAAAAGCCTGGGCATCCATCCACTTAGTCTGAGCTCAATGGCAAACGTTCACATCAGTTTGATATAGTGTTCACCTTACAATTCTTGTTTGGCTTATGATTCCATAATTAAAGCTTTACTGGTCAATTTCCCTGGCCTTCGAACAGGATGAGTTAACAAGATCTGCTTTGGACAAATTGGCAAATAAAACAGGGCAGGAGAGGAGAAGCCCTTTCTACAAGTGGTTCATGCTCTCTCTCTCTCTCTCTCTCTCTCTCTCTCTCCACACAAGTTCTGCCTACAAAGGGCATAGCATGCCAGAGCTACCAGCTCGATACCCAAGCGATTGGAGCCACAGGGATGATCCAGATCACACGGATCAGTGGCGTTATTGATCGTTCTTGAACGTCACCACTGGCAATCCACAAGGGAAGTAGTTTGACTTAAAGAGGGAAAAAAGGAAAAAAAAAATGCAAAGGTGAACGATTTCAAACTCAAGGGTGGCACAGATAATTGTAAAATTAGTGGCATTCTGATAATATTATTTGGAACAGTTGGAATTTTGTATTTCTTTTCCCGCGAAACAGAAAACAAAGCGAAAATATGCTTTGGTCTTGGTGAAGAAAGAAGAACAAAGGAAAACCAAAATTTTTACAAAATGCAGCAAGTGACCTCACCTCTGTGGTTGGGGTTACGAGCAACTCCCGGCCAAGAACTAATTCGAGAGGAAAGCGGACAGGCTTGTGCAATTTGGTGCTGCCCGTGCTTCCATAGCTGAAACGCATCAAGTGCAGTATCATAATCTTAGACAGTGTTTGTATCTTGACGGATTTGCTCGCACTCACCACTCCTGCCTGCAAGCATGAGACTCATCATTACTATCCCAAAAACTTTTTCTCCCGTAGTTCCTTTTTCTATCCAGTGAAAAATGAAGATACACGTAGATTAGAAGGAAAATGCATCTCAAACAAGATATTTTGCCAAGGATGTGAGTTTTAGCAAGACCCTACCAGATTCAAGAGTATCTGAAAGCATTACCAACTGTAAATTTCATTACCAAATGTAAATTTTCTAATACAATCCATATTGTCATAGAAAGGTTATGGTCTCAAGTGTTATCACTGATTAATTTATTAGACTGCTGTGATCTGTCAGTCTACCACATGGCCATCTCATCAGCCATTGGCTAAGAGAGCGATCCTCTGTGGATGGTGGGTGCCCCGCAGGGCCCGGCATCCAGTGTTCACACTCTGGCCACGTGGCAATGTATCATCTTCCAGATTGTTGTGCGTGTCTCCATTGTGTCGTTGGAAACGGATGTACAACCTGTAGAACAGATCCTGTTCAAGTAAGGTCGTTATTAATTTATTGGACAGTTACTGATGCAAGCCCTTTTCAAAGGCATACTCTTCACCCAGATGTCCTTTTGGAGTGATTCGAAACTCAAATTGAATTGCTTCAACATCTATGACCCTCATCCCTATGGATTTTTTGTAATTCAGATGTTTTGGGCTTCAAATTGTGGTAAAGCGTATACGAAAAGTCAGTGGAAAATTTAATTTTCTCTAGTGTTTTGATTTAATTTATGAAATGAGCACTAGAAACCAGGCAATCTTCTAGAAGATCAATCTTCTACAAGAATGTGGGCTCCATAGAAAGTTGACTCCTTAAATCTTAGTAAGTTGAATCTTTCATTGTTCTACAAGTTTTATTTCAGAATTTTGGTTTAGAAGTCCAGTAAATCTGTTTCCATGTTTTGTAAGGTCTAGGTTCCTAAAACTAAAGAGAAACTAATTACCTATTTTTAAAATAACATAGAAGACTAGGGAGTTTAAGTAGAGGTATCTCGACTCCCAAGCTAAGTCATATAAAGAGGAATTCAAACCTCTATAAATACCCATGTAGACCAAAAGCCAAAAAAAAATCAAGTTGATCAATATATTTTGGTATGTCAATTGTAAATGAGAGGCCACCTTTCAATGAGAGATTCCTTAAATCTTTTGCAGAGACTTGTTCCATAAATCTAATTGAAGAATTAAGAGTCTTCCCCTCAAAATTAGAGCCTCATTCTTCATTTGGTTTGCGAAATTTCTCAAACCATAACTTATTGATTGGAAGTTCCCCTCACATAAGCTTGGGCCCATTCTTCTATCTGTCTTGTATATCCGCCACCCCATTTTTAACCTATCAAATCGCCCCCTCTCAAGCCCCAGTAACATAGACAAACCCCAACTAGTCCTAATTTCACCTCATTCCCTTCAAATCCATCAATTAACCCTGATGAACTTGAAATTTTCCAGCAACTTCAACCCCCTTAATACCCTCCAAGCCAGGTACACTCTCACCACCTTCTGCAGCTCTCCTTCGCTCAATGAGCTAAGCCGCTATCGCTCTCACCCGAACTGAGCCTCTATAGCCGAACCGATCTCACGCGAACTTAGCCACTATAGCTGAACCGCTCTCACCCAAACTTAGCCTCTATAGCCGAACCACTCTCACCCGAAATTGCATAACCAACCCTCATATTTGCGCTAGTCATATCCAACCCTTCCCTTCACATTACTTTTAAACATACCCTATTTAAACCTTAAATTCCTCAATCCTATTTGAAGTAGGGAGTCCTTGACACCCACAAAACCCTGCCGTCCCATAGTTTTTAAAGCCCATCTCCGCGCTATCACAATCTTGTAGGAACTAAGCCCCCTCGGTAATCAGTGATTACAAGAGAATGAGACCCACGAGAATCCAAGTACTAGATCCCACTGTCTCTGTTATCATCATTATTTGATTGGACACTGATAACACCAACAATAGTCACCTTTCTTATTTTCTATGATATAGATGGATCACAGCATGCCGACAATCTAATGCACACTTCAGCAAAGAAAATGCATCTTCCTAATCAAAATAAGAAAGGAAAGGGCAAAGCAATGCATATTCCTCATCTACATAGGAAAGAAAAAGTCCGCAATTGCAATGATTGGACTGGGTTATGGAGTCGTGTATGCAGACCATCCATTCATGTCAATAGAGGCAATTCCAACTTCCAACAAGTCATGGTCAGGTCAACTTGGCAAATCATGGATGGAAAGGTTCACAAACAGCACAACAAGGGCTACAATGAATATGACAGCATGCACAAAGCTGAAAACACAAATGCACGAGCACATGCATGTGCACACACACGCACACTCCATAAAGCTTCACAGTATAATAATACCTTCCCTGCAGATGGTCTGTAACCTTCAAGTGATTCAGGGGCAGAAAAAAGATGAAGTGCATCTTCAATAGTATGAACTGATTCAGGGAAAATGTCCAAGTGCAGTAAGAGGAACGGCTGAACAGTTGCTGAAGCCTTGTTTCCTACACAGCATTTAATGACGCAATGAGCACGTATGCTAGCATCCCAGGAGGAGCAATATGAAAATTACATCGGTGATCACCCAAGAATTACACACAAAAGCAAAGCACATTCCATCCCAAAATAATGACAGTTAATAAAGAAAAGAATCTAATTTGAACACTACTAGATTTACATAATCAGCACTTCGACCAACATATATGCATGCACTGAATACACTGACATCTCTAGACTCATGCATGGACCATATCTTTCTGTACAAGCTATGGAAAATTCCACAAAATAGGATTCCTTGGGGATAAATTAGGTGAATAGTGCAGAAAAGAATACATAAGAAAGATTTATATAGCCAGAAGCAAATGAATAATCAAAGAGCACAAAACTGACTGAAAATGCGACAGGGTTGCAGATATTGCAAAATTAATTACCTCTTGCTTTGACAACACTTCTCAACTGTCCTCCAAATATCTCACTCAATTCTGAAGGAACAAAACTTTGTGTTCTTGTAACTGCAGTTTTATTCTTTGGCCCAACAGTTTCCCAAACATCATCTTCTGAACAAGAAATCAACGACAATTTACTTCCATTTGAAAGTGACGGGGTTCCTTCAATTCTTAATAACTCATCGTGCATCTGATCCATCACAAAACTCAGAAACTCCTGAGCATCTTCTTGTCTGTATCAAGAAAAAGTTGCAGTTATTAAATTCCAATGAGCAACAAATTGAATAAACAAAAAATATTTATTATCATGCAAATGGAAGAACTAAGAAACTCAATGTGAGTCATAAAAGAATAGAAGAGCGATCCACCAAGCCTATCAGTTTCAATAACTATTCAGAAACAGAAATACAGATCTTCTTTGCTTGGGCTACACCCTAGTAATAATAGGTACAATCTCAGTACGCAGAGTTACCCCAAAAGACAAAACAAGGACCCCAGTAAGCAAGTTTTTGTCTTAGTAAGAATGACCAAAGTTGGCGAAGAAGAACTCAAAGATCAAAGAAGTACGATTGCACTAAGGCATTGCCTGGAGACAGAATAAACTAAAGGGCCCTCACCTGGGATGTTGGGGCCACTAACGAACACATGCACTGTTGTGTGTGTGCATGTGTGGCTTCTGAGTAAGTTAGGTTTTGGGTTCAAACATATTTTCTTTCATCATATGGAATAAGTTTATGGTGCAGAGTAGCTAAAGTGTATAAACTCTTCCCCATCTATACCACAATCTACAATAAATTCTATGATATATCCCAAGTAGCAAACCAAAATAACAATCAAATTCACCAAGAGGCCTTTTGACGAAACTGGAAAAAATTACTGGACCATGTTTTTTCAGGAAGATTGCCTGCCTCTGCTGTTTGGATCCAAAAACTGGGGTGGATATGTTTTGCTTCCATAAACCAGTGTCTCTATTTCAGGCCCAAAATGGAGAAATTCTTCTCCCCACAAGCTAAAAAAACATTTTCCACAACAATTTCTTTCCCCTCGGGAGCCATCGGAGCGTAACTTTTCAGTTAAATGGGGCCTATAAACCTTTGGCATCCGAACAAAAACTCGCCTCTGACAATACTCATAAAAAAAGTTCCCCTAGCTATCTCTCTGCAGCTGTCAGAAACCCTAGCCCCAGCAAGCTCTCTCTCTGGATTCAAGCCCTCTCCCTCTGTCCTGTTACCCTAACCCAACACGAGCTCTCTCTCCCCCATTGCCCTAGCCCACCAATCTCACTTAGTGAGTATTCTCTCTCTCTACATGTTTCACCTCAATATTGTTCACAATACATAAATGTGGCTTCATATAGTACAATCATATTAATAATTTATTAAAAATCCAAGAAAAATCACAATATAATGACATGATAAAGGAGGTAAAATTTTACCGAACAAGTTCGAGGATAATTACGAGTATAACACAATGAACTTCGCTAAAATGTTTCTTCTAGATGAGCCAAACAGTATTCCAAGTTGTATCCAGGTGCTAGCCAAACATCAAAACCCATTTCACAGGAAATATTTTTCTCAAAAAATGTATCTCACAGAAAACAGATTTCTCCAAACAACATCCAGGGATCCAAAGAAAAAAAAAGAACTTTGGAATGCGAAACTGGAAGCAAAACAGCTTCAGTTACATTCCAATGTACTGGCAAAACAGGGACCATAATAAAATATTATCTGCACAAAAAGCAACCATAAGACGAAGTACACAAACCTCGACCTGCCAGATATGCTAGGTGGCACATCTGGAGTGAACTTTTTCAGAACGGGCTCAAACATAGCGGGGCAGAAAGGCCTTCCAGCCTCAAGCATCTTTTCATTTTTCTTAAAACTTGAGTCAGCAGGCATGTCAAATTCAGAGATAAAATCAATGAAAGCATGTAATGTTGGATATCCGACCTACACCAAAACAAAAATCTTAATCCCGAGCAAAAAAAATGGTAAATGAATCCAACAAGCAGATTTTATATCTAGATTATGCACACTCTGGCCATAAATATTGAAAAATACTTTCTCAACAAGAAAGATTTCAGCCTGAAAGAGTTCCAAGGGGTAAAACCTTGGGAAAATTGCGAGTTTTCAGCAACTGCAGAAGCTGAACAAAGTGAGAGCAGGAAAGAAGTGCCTGCAGTGTTGCATTTAGAAAGCATAAGTTCCCCATGTTGAGCAGACCACGACGTTGCAGATATTTCATAGCTGCCCCAGGCTCACACATTAATTTGCAGGGATCCCCCTTAAAGGATATCTCCTGAATGGTGTTACCTATTGCCAAACAATCCCCATTCTTTGATTTTCCATCCTCAATACCATGCTGAAAATTCCCATCAAGGCTAGCCATTTCGCCTGCTTCATTCGCCACCTGCATCCCAGATTCATGTCTATTCTCTCCAGCTGAGATAGAATGATCCAGATCAGAGACTTCAGAAGTCATGTGACCTTTTACAGGGACTTGGGATCTTTTTGATACAGTTTCAACAGTCTCACCATTAGAACTCTTCATGATGCTCCCTTGCGAAGCCAATTTATTATGAGTCATGTCAGTTGAAACTGCTTTCTCAAGAACTGAAAGCTGTGCACCATGGCTATAATCCAAAACAGAACTGCTAGCCTTTTCTTCCGATGAAAAAGTTGAATTTGCATTTGGAAAGCCAGATCTATTTTGTAATATCGATTTGTTATTGCTTTTCTTAGATATTTCCCCATCAGCAGTGGGAAATCCATGAATGTGAGCCTTGGAGCTCCCATTTGCTTGGATATTTTCTCCTTTTTTTATTGAATTATCAACTAGCTTGTGTTTTCCATTTTCAAATGTTCTGGTATTTGTCACTAAGTTGGATGGTTCTACTCGTTTTATATCTCTTGTGGGATCACTCTGCTGAGGGTCAATTGTAAGGGTCCCAAAAGAACAGACACTTGAATAATCCAAGGAGCCAAACTGGATTTGTTTATTGTTTTCAGGACCTACAGCATGATCAAGAGATTTCTTCTGAAATAACCTCATTTCATCTTCACTGAATGACCCAAATACCAAAACCTGTTTTATACAACATATAAAAAGATCATTAAATGAACAGTTACGACTTCGAATACGTTCACTAGTAAAATGGCATGCATTGAGCGGAAACCACCATGTTGTAGTCCTCTCTTAATCACAAAAATAAAATCACTGGATGTAACTCCAGTTTATAACCCACATGGTTCGGCAGAATAGCAAAAAATACAAAGTCAAGAACAAGATCTCATGACCCACCACACATTCTATAATTATTTGTATGTTTCATCTCAAGTTACTGTATGTCAGAAGTTTCCAACAATCGAGGAGTAAAATTTCTGTAAACATTTATATGGTTCCTAAGTAACCTTAAATACAACACTCATTATGCATCAATTGTCATTTTAAAAAGTTAAAATCAATACTTAGTGAGTGCAGTGTTTAAAACACAGAAAAGGCAAGGGGGAGATCCGAGTTGCCTGAGTCTGACTACTCAAGACTAGGGATAGAATCACCATTTTTTTGGAAGACTTGGACAGACTCGGTAAGACTCAGGTCAAACTGAGTTTGGGTCATCCACAACTTGCACCCTGCCGGTTCTGAGTGGCTCAGGAGAGTCAAGGTTGGACTCACCGAGTTTTCGAACACTGAGATAGAGTGCTTTGTGAACAGTGATAACAGTCATAGATTCATATCAAATGCTTACTCCAGACAACCAACACCATATAGCAAAATTTCTTCACAGGCAGACAAATGAATTAAGAAATGTTCATCATGATGGTTTTCCAAACTGTAAACCGCAAATTGGGGAGGGCAAAACAGAACATGCTCCAAATGCGAGACAAGAGAGTCAGCTAAGATGTGCAACTATGGCTCAGATGACAAGGTGGGTAAATTTGGCATGATTTGTAGGACCCAATAAGCCAAATGGTTGACATTTTCTGATGACTGAACAAGTCAATCTAGGACTCACCTGACTCAAACCGACTTGGTTCTTTGCTGAGCAACTCATGCATGAAAAAAAAGACTTTCTTGGATTGAAATGGCAGATTTTTTAGATTTTCGAAAATTTCCGCCTTTCTTTCAATAATCTCCTCAATACCTAATTGTTCTTAAATAAATTTGAGGGGTCTGATTGCTATTCGAAGTATTTACTAGATTAATGTTTCACTTTGTTTAAAAAACCAAAGATCATGGGTCGATTTTTGCCCAAAAAGCTGCTGCTCAGAGAACCAGTGTTCGATCCAAAAAAGCAGATTTTTTATCCATTAATTGCCCGTTTTTTATCAAATTGAGTTGTGGATTTCGATCATTGAGACAACATATCTCAAATAAAATTGGTATGTTTATTTACGATTGAGTAAATTTTTTTATATGAATTTTTTGTTGCACGATGTCATGAAAATTGCATAGATCTGAAAATGCCTGCCATTTTATCAATCAAATCCAAAATACCAAATAGTGTTTTATGAGATTTGGTGCATTTGAAAGACGATTGAAGCCTTATAATGCATGTGTGTTGATTTATTCGACTATCCGAATATTGAGGGTCGTTTCTCGCTCAAAATACTGCTCGATTTTAAGGGGTTTTGAGATTTGATTTTTCTAAAAAAAAATTATTTTGCTTAATAAAATTATGTCAATATGGGAAGTTTTTTCTATATTGCCAAATAAAATTATATGTTTTAATAAAAAATTATGTTTTTTGATGAGATTACTTTTCGATAAAATTATAGTTTTTTAATAAAATTATGTTTTATGATGAATATGGGAAGTGTTTTTTCAATTTGCTTAATAAAATTATTTTTTAATAAAATTATGTTTTTTGATGAATATGGGAAGTTGTTTTTCTATTTTAATTAATAAAATTATGTTTTGATGAAATTATTTGTTCTACTGTTCTTATATGGAATTGCAGAACAATAACAACATCTTATCCTGATTATGGCCTCAAAGGATGCCACTTTAGTTTGCATTGTTGTAGAATAAATATTCATTCCCTTATTGCTTTCTTAAGCAATCATTATATTTTCGAGCAAAAAGATCTGAAACCCTCTCAAATTTTAGGATTTGATAGCAAGCTCTAGAAAAGTGGTTATTGATGATCCACCTTGGTCATCTACATTTTTTTTTTCTTAAGATTACTGTAGGTAATAAAATAATATAACACTGAATCTATGTTTTCCCTTTTTAAAAAAAAAAAAATTGGTGATTTTTGGACCTTTTAAAAAAAAAAAATCTACCGTACCGGTTAGTCCAGCTTTGGTTCTAACCGCTCCAAGCCCCACGTCCAGTTAACCGTTCCGGTTCGATTTTGTGAACACTGGGTATAATAAAAGCAAGGTTTTATAAGTGTGTGGTTAGATGCGGCATACACATCAACATCTTGTACTCAGCACTAAGTGTAAAACACCTTTGTAGTAGTTTTGCACTTATGCTGAAAAGCAACAGTAACTATAAAACGTTATTCACAAGTTATACGCCATCTAAACAGGCCCTAACTGTTTAAAATTTGTGCAGCTAATTTTAAGTTAAAAGATTAAGTTATCAAAAAGAACCAAGGTGAACAAAAAATAATAATCTAAGTTGGGCTGGAAGTGCATAACAAATTCCATCAGTTTGGCACCATATAACATAGGCTTTCAGATAATCAACAACTCAGCAGAGGTGCATGCCTCGTGTTGATATTAATGGAAGCATATTTCCTACCTTGAAAAAGTTGCATGAAGATGTAGCTATTCATTGAGAAAACAACACAAAATCCTAGTAAACATTGTAAAACCCCACAAGACAAAAAAATCCTTGTCCTTTTTTTTGTCCAAAGAATTTCGAGACTGTCTACATCCAAGGTGATGTTTGATTCGTTCATCTAAGTTCTCACTTAGATCCAAGTGGAACTGCACAAAAAAGATAATTACTTCCCTAGATTGTGTTGAACTATTGAGGGGAAGAGATGAACCCGTCAAAATCCCAAATATTGAGGGCAACGTCGTTAGACTGTAAATCGCAAAGAGCCGGGCTATTCGAGAGCTATTGAAAACTCTTTAGTTTTTCTGTGTATCCCTCTCTATAACCATGAAATCCTAACTTATAAAAGGATGGGAAGGAGGTCATTCTCAAATGTTCGGGTTTCCTTCCTGGAATCTCTGAGAAGGTGGCCCTCTTTACCTAGGAGATAGGTAGTTATTTACTATCCGTTCGAAAAAGCATTTTCTCACTCTAAAAAGCCTTAGTGATAAGCATTAAAAATGCATAATATTTTTAAGATAAATATTAATTACATTAAAAGAGAAAATAATGGCACATGTGAGGCCCCATGACCACCAAGATGAACCAACATCTCCCACTTGGCCATGAGGGCCGGATAATTCAAATACCATAAAGTCTATACCACTTAGTGGGTTTAACATTTATGAACATATCCTTGTCATGAGGCTTTTCATGCTAGTGCGGTTATGCATCTCATGACACAAAAAAAATATCCAAAATCATGTCATGGGGTTTTTCAAGCTTATGCGGCTTTTCCTCTCATGACCAAGACAACAAAGAAAAATATCCCATTTGGGAGTTCCTAACTTAGATGTTCCTAAATTCCATCAAAGCTACATGCTTTGATAATATTTATGCACTTAATCCATTTGTGAAGGGTCTGGAATCAAATTTGATGATGGCAAATAACTTACAGTTATTTCATTCTTTTCAATAATATCATAAATGTAATGATAATCAATTTCAATGTGCTTACCCTTGAAACTATGGGCTCCATTTCTGATGGAGGTAAAAAGTATACTTATTTCTAATATCTATTCAATTTTTCAGGATGTACATTCTGATTTTAGTTTTAGAGTTTAATTCTAGGTTTTTTTAGTTTCAAGGAATTCTATGGACTTTTTAGATATTTTAATTAAAGTTACAGAGTTTAGTTTCAAGTTATACTTAAGTTAGGACCTTTTGGTCAAAAGTTCATTGTATGGATAAATATTGTCCAAAACAATAATTTTTCAATATTAATAAGAGCATGGCTGAGCTGAAGAACCGTTCAAGTGGCTCATTAAGAACATAAAGACCTTGTCTTGTAAAAAAAGCCTAAGGCTTGAGCTCTAGGTAGGAGAAAACCTTAGGGTTTCTCCAAAATTGCTTGTTTTTTGCTTGCTTATTGCTGATTTTCTATGTTTCTTTAAAGTTCTCCTACATCAATTTCTAATTGATGAGATGGCAACCTGATTATCACAAAAAAATTTAACAAGTCTGTCGGCTATATCCAACTTCAAATCATTTATGAAACATTTAATCCAGACGGCATATAAGTTGTAGCAATGCTACGAGCAATATTCTCGACTTCCATAGTATACCAAGCTATACAACCTTGCTTCTTGCTAGACCAAAAAACACATCCACCTTCCAAAGAGGAATACAAGTCCTGAGGTTAATTTTCTATCATCGGGGTCTCCTGCAAAGTCTGCATCAGAGTACCCAGTAACCTCTAAATTATCAGCTTGGAAGCACAATTTGTAGTTTTTAGTTTTTTGAATAAACCTGAGTATCCTTTTTACGGCTTGCTAATAAGCCATCTCAGGATTACTCTGAAATCTATTCACAAGACCATATGCATGACTCAAATCAAGTCTTGTATATAACATGGCATAATTCATACATCCTACAGCTTGAGCATATGGAATTCTTTCCATTTCAGCTTTGTCACAATCATTTAATGGACACATTTTTTTTGACAATTTCAAGCCTTTACAAAGGGTGTATCTATAGGCTTGCAATTTTCCATCTTAAATCTCCTTAAAAACTTTTTAAATAATTTTCTTCAAATAAACATAGAAGTATCAAACTTCTATCTCTTGTTATTTCAATGCCCAGTACATATGAGGCTTCTCCCATATCTTTCATCTCAAAATGGGAACTTAGCCATGATTTGGTATGGTTAATCATACCGATATCATTACCAACTAGGAATATATCATCTACATATAATGATAAGATAACAAAATTGCTCCCACTATTCCACACATATACACAATGGTCTAATCTAT